AACGGTTGTTTTATACAAATTATTTTTATATAAGAAAAATATAATAGTTGAATAATTAGGAAAACTGGTGGTACCTTTAAAGCAAATTGCTGGTACTTCCCGTACCGTAACGAAAGGTTCGAGGAATATTAAATGTTTTCAAATAGATTTCAAATAGAATTATTTTAACATTTTAATATTTATAAAAATTATATAAACGAAACTAGTTGCTATTGGTGTTTTGCTTTGAGGCAAATTACATGAACTTCCCGATATGTGTAATCAATAAAAAACAAATTAATTTATGAGTGATTAAAGTATTCCGAATGAATTTATTAGACATCATTGAAACGAACGATCACGTTAACTCGGAGTGTTTTCTAAAAGCAAATTTTTACAAATCAATGATTTTTATAATTGAACCAGTTTCCGTAGGACTTAATGGTTTAGTATGTTTATTAACACCATTACTCAATCGTTATACCAAGTAAATTGTCTAATTTTAATTTTAACAAACGTCAAAAAACTACTCATTTTCTCAAACTTTGATGAATTTTTAAAATTAAACTACTTTTCATAAGGCCGTAATATTTCAGCAAGTTCTATAAGATCATGATATATATCGACAAAAAAAGTTTCATAAAATTGGCTTAATTTTTTTTTCAACAGTTAATTACAAGAAAACGGCTCGGTAGATTTTCACCTAAAACTAATCGGTATCATTCCCAAATTATATCTTTGGTGGCATTAGCTTAAGTGTGAACGAAAAGTTCAACACTTTTTTACAAATCACAAAGAACCGTCTCGGCCGATCGTCGCACAAAACTGACAAACGATAACCTTCATCGAGATACATCAAATGGCTTTTATTTTTTTAAAATCGGTCCAACCGTTTTTGAGAAAATGTCGATTCATGGCAAAATATCTGTTCACATACATACCTTTTCCAAATTCGGTCTCATTCGATTCAGAATAGCTTGAAACGTCGAGAAAACATAAAATTAGCAACTCAAATATAATTTTTGAAGTAAAACTTCTTTAGGCGCGATATGGGTGTAAAAATTTCTTTAGGCTACACGGGTGTAAATCCGTACAAATGCAACGAAAACGCCAACGTGAAGTTGAACACTACGACGCCGTAAGCGCTGATGTCGCGAGTATCCACTCCCGTCATGTCATGCGTAAGTCGAGCGCTAAACCCTATATGAACTTGCATTAATTGAATCACGTTTTTTTACAAAAGAAGAGGTTGCTGTATTATGTCCTCATGGAATAAGACTTTTCTTAGAGAATAAATGTATCATGGAATATAATAAATTTATATTGAATCTCGTTGAAGACAAAATAATATCTACTGCCACGGATATTTATGTAGGTTGCCATGCGACAGATCAACAATCATACATTCGTCAGCAGTTTCACAAAAATCGGTTATTGATACCGGGGGTTTGCCGTATGAAATAATTTTAGTTCTGAATAAATTTTACATAATAACAACTAATATTGATGTAAGTGATGGCTTAGCTAATGGTTGTGTAGGAAAATTAGTGTACATAGAACGTGGCGATAATGATGAACTTCTACGTTTATGGTTTGAATTTCCTGGTAAGATAGGTAACAAAATAAGAAGAAAGCTGCACATCATATTCAAACTCTTAATATCAGTAGGACAGCTGTGCCGATTCTCAGGAAATCTTCATCTATTCCAATGAATAGAAATAAAATCATATTTGTCAAAAGAAATCATTTTCCTTTAGTGTCTGCTTGTGCACTCATAATACACAAATCACAAGGTGGTACTTTTGATAAAATTGTATATGAATACAATAAAACACATAATCAGCAGCTTCTATATGTTGCATTATCACGAGTTACCAGCATTAATGGATTGTTCATCATTTCTAAAACAACGACAAAAAATTTTATAATGGAAGAAAACGGCCAGCAGGATTAATGGACTTAAAAACTGAATTCCAAAGACTTTCAACTTGTAGATTAATAACACAAGAAGAAAAATTGAGTGAGATAATAAGTTTGAACGACATTTCATTGTTTTTCTTTAACTGCCAAAGTTTACGAGCTCATTTGCCTGATCTGCAAGATAAAGTGCTACAACGTTGTACGTTTTTGTTATTTTCGGAAACTTGGATTAATAATGAAGAACGAATTAATATTCAGAACTATTACTGCGTTACTCAATACAAACGATCAAACTCAAGAGCAGGTGGTGTAGCTGTCTAATGTCTATCATTCATGTTCAGATACTGTTCATAATGCCACTCCTATGCAGTTTCTTGCGCCAACGATATTACTGGATATTCCTAATGAAATTACACAAGTAGGTGATATTGCAGTTGTCCGCTGTGTGAACACACAGAATCAAACATTGATTATAGTCGTCCTTTAAATTTCTCCCAATAAAAACATATCAAATATTATTGAATTTCTTCATCAGCAGTTACTTCATTTTTCTAATGAGGGTGCAAAACTTTTAAACACTAATCACAACGAGATACCATTAATTCTTGCTGGAGATTTCAATGTCAATTTTCGTTCAGAAGAATCTCAACCATTAATTGATTTTTTAAATAATAAATTCAATTTAACAATGAATAATTCTCCATTTGATTCAACCACAAGATATGGCTCGACTATTGATGCAGTTTTCTCCAGAAATGTACATAGTTTACAAAGCAAAATTTATGTCTCTCATTTTAGTTATCACAAACCTATTATATCATATATGAAATATGATAGCAATTAATCTGTCGTTGTTGTTTTAAACTGTGTTATTGATGTTATGTGATTATTAATAAATGATTTTTAAAATTCAAATATGATGTTTTTTTATTTTTATCTTAATTGCCTACTCATACAATATTAAAAGTTTTACTTCAATCGCGTGTGATCCTTACGCGCACTCTTTTTTTTATTTTTTATGAAAACATAAACTTCTCCTTCAGGAAGTTAATAAAAACATAATCTTTAGAAAATTATTAAAAATTATACGTACTCTAATAATAGACTTGAACTTTACTTTTATATTTTATAAAAATATATTTGTTTTAAATAAATAACAATATTAATAAAAGGAATTAGTTAAGAGTTAGTTAAAAAGAGAATTAGTTAAAAAAAATATTCCACGTGAAAATGAAAATAGAAAAGTGAAGATATTTTCTTTTAGTCAACTCGTATTATTGACTAAACACGTGAAACTTTATTTTATTGATATTTTTTTTAAATCTCCAATTGATCACGGGTTTTAATTGTTATTTTCAAAAAAAAAATAATCGCATTCAAATTTATAATGACATTTGCAATGAGTTATATTATGAAAGCTAAATTAAAATGCAAAATATTTGAGTTATATTTTTTCAATATTTTTGCAAACCCTGCAAAAATTTTACACCGTCCAAAATTTTCAGATAATTTATTACGTGTATTTTGCTTTTTTAGGGACCTCTAAAATGTTTTTACTATTCACCAAGGTTTTAGACAATTTTTCACATTATGAATACATAATACTTTAATAAAAACATAATATTGAACATTATTTTTAATCACTTAATTTTTAAATAATAAAAAATATAAATTTTTACTGAAGTAATATATAAAAACACCAATAATTATTTAGATGAGTTTATTTATTAATACTTATTCATTCAACAACAAAATTTCTTATTTTATTTATCATTGTAACAAATAAAATAAAATGTCAACAACAAACAAAATATAACTAACTTATCTTATTGAAGTAAAACTTCTTTAGGCGCGATATGGGTGTAAAAATTTTTAGGCGCGACACGGGTGTAAATCCGTACAAATGCAACGAAAATGCCAACGTGTAGTTGAACACTACGACGCCGTAAGCGCTGATGTCGCGAGTATCCACTCCCGTCATGTCATGCGTAAGTCGAGCGCTAAACCCGCTAAACCCTATATGAACTTGCATTAATTGAATCACGTTTTTTTTACAAAAGAAGAGGTTGCTGTATTATGTCCTCATGGAATAAGACTTTTCTTAGAGAATAAATGTGCCATGGAATATAATAAATTTATATTGAATCTCGTTGAAGACAAAATAATATCTACTGCCACGGATATTTATGTAGGTTGCCATGCGACAGATCAACAATCATACATTCGTCAGCAGTTTCAAAAAAATAGGTTATTGATACCGGGGCTTTGCCGTATGAAATAATTTCAGTTCTGAATGAATTTTACATAATAACAACTAATATTGATGTAAGTGATGGCTTAGCTAATGGTTGTGTGGGAAAATTAGTGTACATAGAACGTGGCGATAATGATGAACTTCTACGTTTATGGTTTGAATTTCCCGGTAAGATAGGTAACAAAATTAGGAAGAAAGCTTCACATCATATTCAAACTCTTAATATCAGTAGGACAGCTGTGCCGATGCTCAGGAGATCTTATTATTATTGATGTTATATGATTATTAAAAGATGATTTTTAAAATTCAAATATGATGTTTTTTTTATTTTTATCTTAATTGCCTACTCATACAATATTAAAAGTTTTACTTCAATCGCGTGTGATCCTTACGCGCACTCTTTTTTTATTTATTTACTTAATATTAATATCATAATTATATATACATATATTTATATATATATATATATATATATATATATATTTATTTATTAATTCGTCTTCTTCACCTTCCTCAACACCTCGCTAGCTTTCAAATCTTTCTCCTTCCCACAACAGATCTTCTTAATTCCATAAAATACTAAAAATAGGGCTCCTAAAAAGACTCCTAGCCAAACTAGAAGCAAGTCCCACATAAACAGTGCAAAGGGGCACATAGATACTGCTTGAGACTTCAAATGCGGTGCCCCCTTGTGCCTTAGTACGTATTCGCACCACCAAACTGCTTCTTGTAGTGGATGTTGAGGGCGATCTCGGAAGAGAGTGGATCTGATGGTCATTTTTTCTTGATAACTAGAAGAAATTTTTTATTGTGATTAATAAACAGATGAAAAAAATATGTAGAAATGAAGAAAATTGGATTATCTGGTTTTATTGTCTGATATTAGATCATATAACAGAGAGAGAGAGAGTGAGGAAGAGAGGAAGGGGTAGACAGGGAGAGAGAGAGGGAGAGATAAATAACGTTAAGATGAAGAAAAAAAAAGATAAGATAGAGACAGAAATCATTCCAAGTCATTCTGAATCATCTGATACGGAAATTGGAAAAAGTTCGAGTATGATGAGCCAAAAACGACTGCACTGATTTCAAAATTTTTCATCAAAACCATTTGAATAGAAATCATGTTGGTTAGTTTTACTTGACGATCAGCCAAGACTATTCTTTATAATTAGCAGATAGGTGTTTAATTGTTTGTCTAAAACGTGGGTTCCAACCTGTGTGGCGTGCCAAAGGGGCTACACCTGTTTTCTAAATTCTATTTTCCAAAACAAACCAACAATGTAGAAATCAAGTAAAAAAAGTTTTTCATGTATATTTTCACGTGTTATGATGTTGCCTGATAGCTAAATTATAATATTAATATCGAATATATGTGAAATTACTTTTTTTATAAAGACAGGGGTGGCGCCTTATATGCTTATTTATATATGGATGGCGCGGTACTGGTCTAGATTTTAGCCAAAAATCCTGAACCGATTTTGAAAAATCAAAAATTCTTCAAAATTTAATAGTTGTATATTGTTAAATAGTTTTTGACAAAGACCATGAGGGCTGTTTGTTTAAATTTAATTGCTGAAAAACTATTTTGATAATTTTGATGAAACTTTGTATTGTGATAGAAAAACATGATCTGAACTAACATGCTAAAATATTATAATCTTGCAAAAAGTGTGCTCTAAAATTAGTACACTCATAGAATTTATAAGTTTGTTTAAAATTTATTACAATTGCAAATCGCATTGATTAGTTTTTCGTAAAAGCTAAACTTGATTTTTAAAATAAAAGCTAAGAATTTTGTTTAAATAGCTAAAAATCAATTCTTATTAATTAAATCGCCATTAGCTGAGTCAATTTTTCATAATTAGCAGATAAGAGCAAAATTCTTTGCTTACGTTTTTCCAAAACTCCTGAACCGATTTTGAAAAATCAAAAACTGTTCAAAAGATTTTAGTTATAAATAGTGTTAATTAGTTTTTGACAAATATCAAAAGGGCCGTTTCTTTAAAATTAATTGATGAAACATTATTTTGATGATCTTCATAAAACTTGAAAAGATTCTTAATAATGTTTTATTCGATGATCAGCCAAGCCTATTTTTTATAATTAGCAGCCTATTCTTTATAAATGCACAATTGTTCGTCTACCTAGATTTTTGCTTAAAATCCTGTACCGAGTTTGAAAAATCAATTAGTTTTTGACAATGACCAAGTCGACCGTTTCTTTAAAATTAATTGATGATATACTATTTTGATGATCTTCATAAAACTTGATAATATTCTTGATCTGAACCATAGATAAGAGAGTAAAACTAAACTGGTTGGAAATAAAATAATTGATATTATAAAATATTATATTCCTGCGAAAAGTGCTGGTGCTCTATAACTAGTACAATTACAGATATTATAAGTTTGTTTGAAAGATATAAATTAAAGCTGAAGCATGTAATGAATCATTTCTTGCAATTAACTAAAAAATTTAACGATATAATAACAGAAGGTGCCATCAAATTGTCCACAATTGTAGCTGAATGTACTTATTGTATAGTTTGCTATGAAAAATAAAACAAATACAGATATCAATTGGAAATTGATTAGTTTTTAGTAAAAGCGAAAACTTTATATTTAAAATAAACGATACAAACTTCATCAAAATAGCTATATACATAGTTGAACAAGTACAAAATTAACTATATTTCAATTCTTATTGATTAAGTTATTAATTATTTATGCATATCGTAAAATTCATGTATGCATGCTTGCTTCAGGAAAATTACCATTTACAACTATATTAAAATATTCACCAAACAAACATTTAATTCACATTCAGTTTACAAATTAACTCACTAGTGGCGCTAGTGCTTGATAACCGCAGCATGTCAAACCTTTAACACATGAGGCACTCCCTTCTCTTCTTTTGCCTATGGAAGCACGCTTTTATTTGACGTTTAGTGTTCAGTAAGTTTTAAAACGAAAATGTTGTTTAATAAAAATTAAATAAATTAAAGCATGGCAGGGTGAAAAGACATTTTAAACATAAAGCTAGTTATGTTAGTCATTGAAATATATTGATTTGGTGGATAATAACAGTGTATTGTAATAAACTTGTTGGGTGTATCTAAATGCTAGGTAAGGTGGTTACATTGTCTTAATAATAATTTTATTATATTGTTAATTTAAAACGTGGAAGACTAAAAGTAAATGCAAAGCATGTAGATGTTTTGATTGCATTGATTTAATTCAATAGTAAGTATTTTTATTTATTTTCAAGACTGAACTTCAAGTTTGTTAAATTACAAAATGGCGTTCAATTATTAATTGAAATTGTGAAGACACCAAATTTATTAAATTTGAATGGCAATAAAGTTGTTATAAGGTGCTTTATTACCATTGTGTAAAGTGTACACACATGAAACAGATGGTAAGATTTAGATACCTCCTTTGCACTTTAAGCAGTGGTTTATATATCTATAAATATGAATAAATTGGTGATAAAATCAGAACCCCAAGAGGAAACATCCACACCTCAATCTATTACCCCTGATTCAATTCACATAAAACAAGAATCACAAGACAACACTTATCTACAAAGATTCCTACAATCCGAGGTGACAATCGATGAAGTCAAACAAGAACCATCCCTCTGCTGCAAAATATGCTTCAAAATCTTCCCACACAACTCAGCACTCGTCTACCATGAAATGAACCACAACAATACGAAACGATTCAAGTGCATGCTTTGTGATGAAGGCTTTTCGAGTCAGTATGTTTTATCCAACCACCTAAAGTCTCACACGACTGCCAAACAATTCGAGTGCAAGGTTTGTAATAAATTTTTCACCTTAGAAAAGTATTTGGAGTTCCACATGCTTCTGCACACCGAGAGCAGGTTGCATGAGTGCAAAATTTGTTTTAGAGAGTTTACCAGAAAAGACTTGTTGGATAAACATGAGCTAGTACATTACTATGCGAGGCTTAAATGTGAAGTGTGTGGAAACACATATTCAACACGAGCTGCTTTGGTGAAGCATTTGGCTTTACACGATAAGAAGTTTGAGTGTATTATTTGTAATCGATGGTTTGCCTTGAAGTTGTTTTTGGATAGACATTTGAAAGTGCATGTGGATGGGGATTGTTATGAATGTGCGATTTGTTCGAAGTCGTTTGCAAAGAAAGTGGGTCTTAGAAGACACACGAAGGAACTACATAATGAGAAGAAAGTTTTGTAGTTGTAACGATGTGCCTTTTTTATATATTATAGTTTTAAGCATAATCATTGTTATGTTTTATTATGAATTTTAGTCGTTCTTGTGATTTTTTTATAAGAAATATTGTTTTATGCACTTTTTTAAATAATGTCTTAATATAATTATTAATAAACTTAATTTATATTATGGTTTATGATATTTTATTTATAAATTTTGTTGATTTCTTTATAATATTGAAAAGCACTTGAGAAGATTTTTTAATTTTAAGCAAATGAGTCAATATATAATAATACCATCTGATGATAAACACACCTGTCTATTTTCTTTAGAAAAAAATGATTCAATGTGCTATATATCGTCTAGACTTATGGGCCAATTTTTGATTAATTTATGGGTCTATAATCATATGAGTTATTAGTTTTTCATTATCTTTATAATAATACCATCTGATGATAAACTATCCGGTCTATTTTTTTTTATAAAGGATTAATTTAATCTACTTCATCTTCTTTGCAACAAGTCTAGATTTAGGGACCAATTCTTAGATTAAACTAGTTTAATCGTGCCTTAAGGCAAGTTGCTGGAACTTTCAGCAAATAAAGGCAAATGAAGTATTTGAGGATTATTAAATGTGTTCAAATATATTATTGTAAATACTATAATTTTTATGTATTTACTGAGAATGAAATAAAACCCAAAATGTAAGTAAAATTCAATCATTCGAATTTAACAAGAAGGACATTGTCTAATATTTTTAAGAATTATATAAACTGAATTGCAAAGTTAAAATTATTTATTTTATGTATATAAGTGAGCTTTAGAATTTAAGACCGAATTGAAATTAAAATTCGTACAATTTTCGATATTAAAAAAAATATTTTGTGAAAATTAAAAAAAAATCTCAAAAGCAATCGTTCCGTCAACACAAGCAGAAAGTTTTTTGAATCTTCAAATCGGATGCTTATTACTTTCAAAAATTGCAATTTTTTGCACATCTAGCTCCGTATGTCCGAAACGGCTGAACCTGCCTTTGCCAAAACCTAATCACCACTTCTCCCTATCATTACGAATTGAATGATTTTTGGATAATTCAAATCGGTTGATCCGCTCTCCTAAAAGCTGTCATTTTTAGCACTTTTTGCTCCATACCTCCGAAGTCGCTGGACCTGTCTTTGTCAAAAACTAATTAGCACGTCTTTTCATCGAAGATGAAATTTTTGATATATCTTTACGTTTCAGAGGTTTCTGAACATTTTGGTATACCTTAGATGATTTACCTTAAACGATTTGACGATTTCTGAAACACGATAAAATTTTTGGGAGGGCAGGTCTTTCGGTTTCGGAGATGGAGTAAAAAAAAGTAAAAAAATGCCATTTGGCGGTCAAAAATGATCCTTGCAGACATGCACTTTAAATTATCAGTTATTTTAGAGATTCTAATAATACGTATAGATTTTGTTAACATGGGTTCCGTAACTTTGATCGTAAGACAGCGACGCGGCGCTTAAGCGCTTCCATATTTCGTGTCCATGCAGCTAAAGCAGCGCGATTGCTTTGAAAAGAAGTTCAAAATTTCCAAAATATTACGAAATTTAAACAAAAATTCTTTTTTTTTTAAAAAAGTCAATTTTTTCAAAAATTTCAAAATTCTCAAAAATCAAATTTTGTCTGAGTTAAGTTTTAAGGTACAATGTCATACACCACTAATTTGACAACAAACTGAAAGAATTCTTTTAGCTCTTTTTTCCAGAACTGTTAAAGATTAAATTACTGACTATTACTAAAGTGGATTGCAATGTTTTAATTAATATTAAATAATAGAAAAAAATCTCAATATATTTTTAAATAAATGAATAAGCCAATTTATAATAATAAAAATCCAAACCACATCAAAACCATGTTTTCAGCATATATGAGTAAATTTAAACACACATTTCATAATTATACTAAGCATTATATGTAATTTGGAAAAAAAAGTTAAGAATATTTGCAGATTCATGTTTTATTTATTTATTTGTTTGTTTAATTTTTTCTAGGATTAATAAACGTAGCTCTTCCTTTTGCTTCTAGACAATTTAAAATTTTTATAAACTTACATCCTAGCTTTTTAAATCTTTTGTGATTAATTTGACATTTCCAAAAAACGAATGTCTCTTTCTTTAGAAAATGGTTATTCATTTTTTGAAAATGTTTGCTGTCGTTTGTGAACTGTTTTTGTTGTATTTTTATTTTCATTTTGTATTGCAGTATTCATTTAAATATAATGAGTTTTAGATTAAGTTGGCTCTTGCAAAGACTATTAAAGGACATTTATATGTGGCGTGCTTGGCAGTGGGTAAACTATTCATGTATTTTTTGGTAGCTGCTTCTTTCACTTATGCACCACATTTGCAATCAGTTAGTTATTTTCGTACTAAGCATTTTATACTTAGAATTATTATTACAATAATTTTTTTATGGCAAAACAACATTTGGCGGGTCAGCTAGTTATATATATATATATATATATATATATATATATATATATATATATTCATTTATAAATTGTTGTTACCTGGGTTCAGAGAGCATCCTCGACAATTTGGCAATGATAGCTTCCTCGGATAAATTAAAAATGTCTAGTTTTTCAGCTACTCCAGCATCAATCGAACGTTTCATGTTCTGCAAATAAAAACAAATTTGTATAACTAGGTGTAAGTGGCATTTTGTCTTAAAACAAACAAGTTTATTGGTCCTCCCCTGAATGTGTAAATAATTTAATAGACATAATCAAGTACAATTAGGATTTAGCATTTCTAAAATTTAATACCAATTGGGATTTGGAACTTCCAAAGTTGTTGCAATGAATACATAATGGACTGATAGATTGAATTCTAAAAAAAATCACGAGACTTGCCATGCCGTCCTAACCTAACAGAACGCTTGCCCATACATTATGTATGATACATTTTAACTTAGGCTTGGATATGCATGGCAAGCGTACATATGAATTTAATGAAACTAATAAAACTATTATTTTTATAAACAAAAGCTGTAGGTGTAAGTGGCATTTTGCCTTAAAGCAAGTTTTAATCAATGTTTTAATCAATTTTTGAAATTTTTTAATTTGGTTCATGGTTTTTGGCAAAAACGTCGACTACTTCGCACGGATGCATTTATTTGCTTTTCATAAAAAATGGCTACTTAAAGAAATTTCTTGTATAAAGATATCAATCGCGGCGCAAAACTAATAAAAGCAAATTCTGGTCGAAAGATTTCTAAAGTTTTTAAATCGGTGCAGTCTGTTTTGAAAAAGGTACAAAACTGCAAATACAAACTCATGCTTTTCCCAATTTTGATGTCGAACGATTCAATACGACTTGAAACGTCGAGAAAATATAAAATTAGCAAATAGGATTTTTTCACATATAACTTCTTCGACACGTTAATTAACTTCCTACAGTAATCGCAAAAAAATCTAAAATGAAAATTTTAATTGATCTTTACATTTCAGAAGTTTCTGAACATTTTGGCATACCTTAGAAAAAATATATCTATGTGTGAGTGTGTGTGTGCGTGCGGATACAAATTTTCGTCGACTATTTCGGGAACACGGATCAGCCGATTTGAATTATTCAAAAAACGTACTCCTACTCCTTGTATAATTCTTACTGATGAGGAGTAGATGTGCTCATAAGTTTTTGACAAGGGCAGGTCTAGCCGGTTCGAAGATACGGGGCAAAAAGTGCGAAAAATGGTATTTTAGTTTTTGAGATAACGAAACGTCCGATTTAAATAATTCAGAAAACATTTTACTTGTGTTGACGATATGAACAACTGGTAAAATTTTTGTAAAAGCAGGTTCAGCGTCTCCGGAGATCCAATAGAAAAAGTAAAAAATAATGCCATTTGACCCCTCAAAAATGAACACTAGACATATATACATCGAATTCGACTCCAAATCAGCTATACAGCGCTATTGCTTAAAAAAGTGTTTAAAATTTTCAAAAAAAAAAATAAAATACAAGAAAATCGAAATATAAAAAAGTCAATTTTTTTTACAAAAATTTCAAAATTTCTCAAAAAATGTAATTTTTTCAAAGTGTTGCAAAGTATTTTTTAATGATTTAGTTTTTGGTACGGGAAGTTCCAGCAATTTGCGTTTAGAGCTATGCACCACTAGTTTGCTAAAATATTTATAAATTTTCTTACTGTGTGCTGATCTGCAAAGAACGGTATCCCCAACATGGGTACTCCGTGCCAATGAGACTCCTGGGTGCTGAGGAGACCACCATGTGTCATAAATAGTACAGTTTTTGGGTGCCCTGGAAATTGAAAATTGATCATAATTCCAACAATTTCTTAACAGTTTTTATTTTATTAAGTTTTAATAATTTTGTATTACCTAATATGTCGTTTTGGGGCATCCAATCTTGCAACAGGACATTTTTAGGTAAATTCAATTTCTCCTTGTTAGAGAATTTCCATAAAAAGTGATAATCGGGGAATTTTGCAAATGCCTTTATGAACATTCGAATGCGTTCTTCTCCTAACATTTCGCTCTTCACATTGGAACCGAGGCTGAACAGGACGGCTCCTTTTTTGGAAGACTCTATGAACCGTTTGATGTCCTAAAAGGAAAAGACAAACGTTGGTGTTAATAGAAAGCGTAAATTGTCAATGTTGTACAAAATTAAGGGACCGATTCTGCCGCATAACAGAAAAATGTTATGGCAAGGCCATGTTACACTCCAACTTCCATGCATTATGCTACTGAATCATACTGAATACATTCAAAATGCATGTATTTGCTGTGCATTCAGGCGTTTTACACATAAACTTGTAACTTCACTTGTATGTTATGAAGCTGGGTCAGAAAGACTCTATTATCTAAGATCGTTTTTTTAACATTTGTGAGGTTTCTAGGTTAGGTTTTTTATCTGACAACCTGAGAAAAAAATGTGACTGCACAGCAACCACATGCCTTTTGTCAATATTTAGTTTGGAAAGTTCTTCATAACATGGCCTTGCCATAACATTTGTCTGTTATGCGGCAGAATGGGTCCCTAACTTTTGTATAAATTTGTCTGATACATCATTTATAACAATAGAATTGTTTAAAAGTTACAAGAGATATAATAAATCAATAAGTTTTCACAATCAGGATTTATCGAGTCAGAATCATTATTTGAAGGTGTATTGATTATGAATTATATTTGTATTATCTTTACCCTTACCTGTGGTGCTTCCTTAGGTTGCTTAACCTGTAACCCCCCGACAGGTATGACGTTAGGCAGCAGCGGTTCAGGAACATCTATCGACGGGTGCACGTTGACCAAAAACAACTCGATCCTCCTCTCCAACTCCCTTGCGTTTCCAGCGCTTTTTCCAAAAACCTTCTCCATCAGCTCCTGGGCATCCTCCACATCCTTCTTCCTCGCCCAATTATCGACCACGTAGTAGAACAGATTTACTGACCTCTCCCAGAAATTCATCACCGGCGTGAAGGTTGTTGCGTAGTAAGGTTTCAAAGAAGCAAAAATGGGGTTGCCAGATGCGTCGTAGGTGTTTGGAGGGTTCATGAATGCGCTGACGCCAACCACGGGAGGGTTGTGGAATTTTTGGAGGATACCAAGGATGCTAGGGAAGGAGCTGTAGTCGTATACTACCAAGTCGAAGTGGAAGTCATCAGGGTAGCGTAGGAGGGTTTGGAGACCTTGAGATCTCAAAATGGCGCGATTGGAGATGGCGAAGTATTTCATGAGGTCGGAGATGCTGGAGTAGATGTCTAGGGAAGCGTATGCGATCAGGTCGAAGTTTTCTTCTTCGTAGATTGCTTTGTAGACGTCTTCTATGAGAATGTAGTGCAGGTTGGCCGCTGGCTCTTTGTCTATGTCGACGCTTAAGGCAGTTATGTTATAGCCTTTGGCCGCTAGGGCTTCCATTAAGGAACGATTCCTGGAGGAAAAAATAATTATTAATAGAAATAATTGATGTTAGTTTGTTACATATTAATAAAAGGAATCTAGTCCAATCATTATAGTAAGTACACTTCGGAATTTGAGATACCCAGCTACAAGTCTGTAAATACTTGTATATTGACACCTTAAAGTTGTCCCAAAACCTACATATGGTATTGACATCTTACCTAAGTCAAGCTTAAATGACTGGACTAATCATAATTTAACTAGTAACGAATGGCAACCCAAACGGTTAACCTATCTCAAATTAATAAATTTTATTATTACAATTTCTACAATTCTGATTAACTTTTTATTGATGGAACAATGTCGGATGAGGTCTATTTTCACTTGCAAACATATTACTATCTATATTTTTAGGTCGATATCACTGCTGCTTGACATCAGGTTGTCCGAGGCGGGTATCGAACGTTAAAGTTTTGGTTGCAAACCCATATGGCTCTAGTCACTAATTCACAAAAAAGCATGATGTTAATGGAAAGGAAAAGTGATTTATGGATTTATGTTTTGATTTTGCTCATCGTCACTAGGTATGTTTGTTTCGAAAAAATATTACAAGTAATTGTGCATGATCGATTTAAAGTTTCAATTTTAATTGAAGCAATTTGATTTTTATGTAGTAATTTGATTTATTATGGGCTAATTCTCGGACAACATAGAAATGTTATGTTACGGGTCTATAATCGTATGAGTTGTGTTAGATGCTAAACTTTTCATTCACAACCGTATTATCACACAGATTATGGATTAATACCTTGCCTTTGACTATTTGATTAAACAAATATGGCGTCAACATGAAGTTGATTATAATAAAACATAGACTAAAAATAACTTTTAGACAGGCTCTGGTTTTGAAATAGTTTCTCACCTTTTGCACAATCTCTGGATTATTAGCACGAATATTTCAAGACTAACGATAAGGCTGGCCAAATCCGTACAGCCAATTTATAGTTTTATCATACCTAACATAATATCGAGCTCCTTTTTTACATATAAAAAGATATATAACTAGTTTCATTTATATCCGCCAGAGGTTTACGATACGAAAGTGTACTTGCGCAGCCAACTTCATGTGTGTAACTTATCTGCGCCTAGTAGTATTTACTACTACTTTTTTCCAAAATAAAATACTCTACAGTAACTTGGTATTCTGCAAAAATCCAATTTAATATGACTCACAGAAGTATCTGCATAAACTTCAAATATCTTACATAACTTCTAGTTCTAAACCATTTGTTTAATTCGGATGGTGTTTTCAGAAAATTTGTTCAAAATTAAATACTTCATAATATAGTCTATTAGGGGGCGTTTATTAATCACGTGAGCCAGTTTTTAAGGATTTTTGGACCCCCCCCTCCCCCGCCAAACATCACATGTATTTTTAGTTACGTTATAATCTTACGTTTAATTTTTTTTTGAAAATGTTTGATTTTTTAAAAAAATTCAGTTAAAAAATAAATACACGTGATATCTTACTATATCCCTCCCTCCCTCACGTGATATATTGTGATTTTTTGTCAAACCCCCCCTACCCCTAAACACCTCACGTGATTAATGGACGCCGCCTTATCATAGTGCTCTACTGCAACTCGGTGTACACAAAATGATTTTTTTTCTACTTATAACTTGGTATCCTGTGAAAATTCAATTTAACATGATTCAAATAAGTACCTGCGTAAACTTCAAATATCTTACATAACTTCTAAACCATTTGATTAATTTAGATGATGTTTTCGGAAATTTTGTTCAAAATTAAATACTTTAAAAAAATTTCTAACATCATAGTGCCCTACTGCAACTCGGTATACTCAAAAATGTATTTTTTCTACTTATAACTTGGTATCCTCTGAAAATTCAATTTAACGTGACTCAAAGAAGTACCTGCATTAACTTCAAATATCTTGCATAACTTCTAAACCATTTGATTAATTCAGCTGGTGTTTTCGGAAAATTTATTCAAAATTAAAAACTTTATAACATTGTCTAACATCATAACGGCCTGCTAGAACTCGGTATACTTAAAAAAGTATTTTTCTACTTATAACTTGGTATCCTCTATAAATTCAATTTAACATGACTCAAAGAAGTACCTGCATTAACTAAACCATTTTATTCATTTAGACGCTGTTTTCGGAAACTTTATTATAAAATTAAATTCTTCATAACATTGTCTAACATCATGATAACCTGCTACAATTCGGTATACTTAAAAATGTATTTTTTCTGCTTATAACTTGGTATCCTGTGAAAATTCAATTTAACATGACTCAAAGAAGTACCTGCATAAACTTCAAGCATCTTATATAACTTCTGAACTACTTAACACTTATGGGACGGCACCGATTTCAAACAATCTACTGTACTGGCTGTAAACTTTATTTCATTGTGAGTGTAATGCAATTTGTTTGATAAAAATTTGTGGTCATTGAAGGACCTGCATTTTAAATATTAATTTATTTTTGATCATTTTATAACGAATGGTAACGTTTAAAACAATTTCCAAAATGCATAGCTAGTTTATTTTGACATATTTAAAAGCGCTCGGTCGTTTTTAATATTTAAAAAAAGACTATATAGCAAAGAAAAAGGCTAAAAATACTGCTAAAATAACTTAAAATTATTTTCAAAATACAACACTGTTTATCACTACTATATATAATTTATTCAACTTTTCGATGCAAACTGAGTCATTGTTTATAAAATAGCCTGTGCCTCACAGAGTGTGTTTGTCCACTCAGGTGGACAGCCGTCCCCAAAGAGTTAAGAATTATATTCGGTTCGAGTGTGTTAGAAGTGTATTTGTTTGGTATGAATGATGTATAGGACTTGTATAAAATTAAAGTATCTAATACTACTTTTTCCAAAAACAAAACACCCTACAGTAACTTGGTATCTAAAAATCCAATTTAACATGACTCAAATAAGTACTTGCATAAACTTCAAGCATCTTATATAACTTCTAAACCACTTAATTAATTCAGATGGTGATTTCGAAAAATTTGTTCAAAATTAAATGCCTCATAACATTATCTGTTATCATGGGACCCTACTACAACTCGGTATACTCAAAAAAGTACTTTTACTTACCATATATGGTGGCTGGGTGAGGCAATCGTCATCAGACATAAAATGTTTCCTTTGAATTTCGTTTCACTTTTTTTAACAACTTTATTATCACATTTTGTATTAATTATAAATAATGCAAAAATTGTTAAAATTAAACAATTTTTTGATAAAAACATGGTTGGATAATTTATTATTAAATAAATAATAGTAATTTATAAACTATCTTTGGTTAATTTATAAAGGACATATTCATAAAATTTGGATGGAAGCTGAAAAAAAAATTATTTATATTTATTTTTGTAAAAATATAATTACATAAAACATATTTTCAAATTATAAGTTAAAAAAAATGCATTTTCAAATATTTATTATACAAATATTAATGTAATAATTTATAAAAAAAATGATCCCAAAAATTTTAAAATTGTATCAAATATTTTCTAAGTATTTTTAATATTTAAAAACACTATATAAATTAACGATTTTTATCAATATTTTAAATTACACTAATTTTTTAGGTCCTTAAGACCTTAAACATTCACACTTCAACATCTCCAACTTCTCAAACCTCAAACAAACATTCATTCCACCGGACAATTTTTACAAAAATATTTTTTAAAAATCCAAAATTATATCAAAAGTTCCTAAACTATATTTGACATATAAAAAACTTCTCAAACTAACATTTCCTTACACTATTTATTGTTAAATGAAGTCGATGAGTATCTGAAAGTGACCTTAGTACTACTGATGGTCGCCTTCGTTTAATATAATCTCGTTCAATTAATTGCCAACGACAATTGCATAATAGGCAGTGGTGGCCAACTTCAGAAAAACTATTGGTGTATGGCATCGTAGCTTAAGGAAAATTGCTGGAACTTCCCGTAGCGAGGAATGAAAATAATCAATAATTGTTTTAGATACTTTCAATAAGATTTTTTTTTTAATAGAATATTTGTTATGGAAACATACTGTAAATTTATAAGTGCTTAATAAATTGGGCGACGAGCGTATTTTAAAAACAACTTATGTGTATGTTTACAAGAAATTTGTTTAATTTTTTTTTAAATTTAATTTTTTTGATAATTTTGAATTTTTTTCAAAATTTTGAATTTTTTGGAATTTTTGAAAAAAAATGTTTTTTTTAAAATTTTCTGTGAATTGGGATTTTTTTAAAATATTCGATTTTTTGAGAATTTCAAAGCGTTTCCAAATTTTTGTAAGAAATCGTTTTTTTCCTAAATTTTGGTATTTTTTGAAATTTGTCAAAATTTAGATTTTTTTTCTGAAAATGATGGAAAATTTCTTTGATTTTTTTTTGAAAATTCGATTTTTTTTAACATTTTCATTTCGATTTTTTGTGTTGTTCTTTTTTGTGAAAGCATTTTTTGCACACCGTATGCACAAGCAAAAGGTTTGTTGAATTAATCTAATTGGATGATCCGTTCTCTCAAAAACTGCATGACCATTTTTACACGCTTTGCGCTCCATTCCTCCGGAACGGCTAGACGTGCCTTTTGCAAAAACACCTTGCGATCGAGTACGAACCGAATGTTTTTTTAATCAGACAAATCGGTTATTCCATACTGACGAGGACATTTGTTTGAACCATATGAATGAACTTCAAAATTCAAAATCTTGGTACGCAACCCAAAAAAATGACACACTATTGAAATCTGTATAAAATATCTGATAATTTGACGTGCATATGTCTAATGAATATTTTTACCGCCAAATGATATTTCTTCAACTTTTTTTATTGAGAGTTCATAACCTATGGACCTGCCTTTTCTTTCAATACAAATAAAATGTTTTTTCAATTATTCAAATCGGACGCTCCGTTCTCTCAAAAACTGAATTACGATTTTGGGCTCTTTTTGCCTCGTATCTTCGGAACGGCTAGACCTGCCTTTGCCAAAAACTAACCAGCACGCCTCTTTATCAATACGAATCGAATGTTTTTTGAATTATTCAAATCGGTTGATCCGTGTTCCCGAAATCCTCGACGGAAATTTGTATCCGCACACATACACATACGGATACACACACACATGCATCCATTTTTCCTGAGGTATGTCAAAACGTTCAGAAACAACTGAAACGTGAAAATATGCAAAAAGTTTCATTTTCGATTTTTGGCCCATTATTATACTTCAGAGTTGGCACCATTGTTAACCAATATTAATTATTTTATATTTTTATTTTTTCTCCACTTATTATTTTTTTAACTGTTATTTTTCTTTGCTATTTTTATTGTGCACATTTATTGTTCTGAATGAGTGAATAAACTAGGTGTAAGTAGCATTTTGTCATAAGGCAAGGTGCATAAACATACCTATATGTATAAATAATCAGCTTAAATAGTAAGAAATTAAAATTAGCTATTTAGCTAAAATTTTCTAAATAAACACTCGTCTTTATCAAGTTTTACCGAATGGATTTTAAGTTTCATAATCCGTTCAGCCGGTTTTAAGAAAACAACAAGGAAAGGTCACGTACATATACGGACACAAAAAAGTTTTTGCAAATTTGGTCTCAAGCGATTTAGAATGACTTGAGACGTCGATAAACATAAATTTATCAAGTCGGATTTTCTAGAGAAGACTAATTTTCTGTTTGAGAATTTATTAAATAAAAAAATGAAAAAAATAAATAAATGTTATGTGTTTGTGGGATGTTTTCTTCCCCTGCCCTGAGTAATTTAGTTTACAGTTTACACTGTGATTAAGTTTTACAAAAGTTTATATATTTTGTTTTGAAAAACACAATTATAATTTTTTTTTAATATGTATTTATTAGAGATAATTTTGTTTGTTTTATAATTAGTTTTTTTTATCAAATTAGATAATTCGCTTATCAGACGATAAGGATGATAATGAGGTTGTAACAATTTTATAATAATAATTACATACAAATGATAATTACTATAATACAATTATCTTAAATATACAAAAAGAAATTTCCATGCTTATTTATAAATATATTTTGCAAATAAACAAGTTCTTTTGTTACGAATGAATGAAACTAAGTATGAGATATTTTTAATAATTTATTATATTAATATATTATTAATATAATTAAAGCACAATTGTGTTCAAAAACTAATAATTGTTTTAAGTTCTATTATAGTTTAACGTAAAATACTAGAATTTCTTTTAAAAGTTTAAAAGTGTAGCAAAAATTTTAGCAAGATTTGTTTTTCTCAAATTAACTCTTGCATTTTACTTTATTTTCATTATTATATTTTATTTATCGCATATAGTCAAATTAAAATCCAAATTATGCACAATAATAACCGAAAGGAGGCGCTGCCATAGCTTTAGTAAAGTTAAGGACCCTGAAATACGCCATCTTGAAGTTAGTCTTTAATTAAAATAATCTTGAAGTTAGTCCTTATTAGTGAAATTGCTGATGACCTTTTAGTTACGATTTTCTATCTAGCTATAAGATAAAAGAAATCTCAATATATGCTACTATAAGAGTATCTTGTGAAATAAAACATTTTCTTGGAAACCATACCTTAATGGGCCGATTCTGGGCCACACAACAGATCAATGCTATGGCAAGTCGACTGAATTACACTGAATTCTGTCAAAATGTTATGTATTTGCTGTGCATTCAGGCGTTTTACTCATACACTGCAACGTGCTTTGTGGAAGCTGAGTCAGAAATACCCTGTTATCTAAGATCGTTTTTTTGACAGTTGTGCGGTTTCTAGGTTAAGTTTTCCACCTGACAACCTGAGAAAAACGCCTGACTGCAGAGCAACCACATGGCTTTTGTCAATATTTAGTATGGAAAGTTCTTCATTACATAGCCATGCCAAAACATTGGTCTGATGTGCGGCAGAATCGGTCCATAAATGTCGACTTGTCTTGGTATTGCTATTTTATTTATCCTATGCAGATGTTTATTAATTTGTCTCTTAATTAAAGTTAATAATAAAGCTTTTTACTAATTAACTACTTATTTAATTGGGGTTTTTGTATTGCCATTAGAAATCTTCTAAATCACCTTCATTTGTTAGCAGAGCATTTATTTGTATGAGAAAAAGTTTCAATTATGTATTTAAACCCATGAACCGCGTTTTGATAAACACTGTTCTAATATCCACGATGACTTGTTCATTTGCATTTCATTATCTATTGTTGTTTTTCTTGTTTATAATTATTATTGGAAACTAAATGATATTTGATGACGAATCAATATTTTATAATTTAACTTAAATATGTGTAATTTAGGGGAATTACCGGAAATTACCGAAATATATAAAATAATATAGTAATATCATGTTGTTTGTCGCAATACTCATCTGAAACGGTTTGACTAATTTTTATGAAATTTTTTAATCACGTTCAGTTTGATTGAGATCAGAGCCATTATTTATTTCACCTACCCCTAAGTGGTGAGGGTTGGCCACCCTTAAGTAGTTATTTTAGTAACTGCATAATTTTTCATCCCTCTTTCAATAAATGTTTTTCGTCGAATTTCGATCAAGATTATCTTGAATTTCTGGAAAAGCTTAAATTTAACTTCAAAACACGTAACTTTTATTTAAGGGTTGGCCAAACCTAATATTAACTTCCAGTAAATTATTATAATCATCCAAAAATCGAAAAATCTAAAGTTGAAAATTTTGCATATCTTCTGGTTTTAAAGGTTTCTGAACATTTTTGCATACCTTAGAAAAAATGGATGTGTATGTATAGATATAGTTTTTCGTGTACGTTTTCGGACACACGGATCAACCGATTTCAATGGTTCAAAAACATTTGATTCCTATTGATAGGGACATGTGCTGATTAGTTTTTGGCACAGGTAGGTCCAGCTGTTTCGAAGATACGAAGCAAAGAGTGCAGAAAATATAAATCGTGTTTTTGAGAGAACTGTGCATCCGACTCGAATGATCCAAAAAATATTCAATTCGTAATGATGGGGAAAAGTGGTGATTAGATTTTGGCAAAGGCAGGTCTAGCCGTTTTGGAGATACGGAGCTAAATATGCAAATACTTGAATTTGAGAGTTTGAGCATCCGATTTGAATGATTCAAAAAACATTCTGCTTGTGTTGAAGAAACTATTGCTTTTGGAGAAAGTATTTTTTTAATTTTTTTTACCAAATTTTATTCTTGGAATATTTTATTATGGTACGGTAAGTTCCAGCAATTTGCCTTAAGGCACGATGTCATACACCACTAGTTTTTGAATTTGGAACCAATTCTCTTTATTTTAATTTTTTATAAGGTACAGCCCTAAATTTTCAAAAAAAATAATTGTATATAAATCTGCTAAAATGTAATTATTTCGAAGAATTTTGTATAAACGTAAATTAATGTTAAGAATTTTTTTTAAAAAAATATGAAAACGTGTAAAAATGTGAAAAAAATGTGTATAAATTAAAAAAAATTGTTTTTATGAATGGGTATAAATATTTATGAATGAGTTTAAAAATGTGTATAAACGAGTATAAATGTGTACAAACGTGAATATGTAGAAATGTTTATGAATGTGTGTGGTTGTATATAAATGAAACAAAAAATATTAAAAAATATTTACTCTGTACATTTCGAACACTGCCACAAACGTGCCACAAAAAATATCAACAACAAATATTTTCAACAAAAACAACATCCACCAAATAAAATTGAACTAATCTTCACATTTTCCTAAAAACCATATATTTATCTAATTTTTTTCTCCTCAAACTCTTTTCGTCTAATATTTGTAACTTCTTTTCTCCTAAAGATCTTCCTGAGCCCAAAGACTACCAAAAATGCGACTCCCAAAAATATTCCAAGCCACACGAGCATCAGATCCCACATGAAGAGTGCGGGGGCCTCCATAACTGCCGCCAGGGACTTCAGGTGGGGGGCTCCGTTGTGCCTTAGCACGTATTCGCACCACCATGTCGCCTCTTGTAGCGGATGCATCGGGCGATCGCGGAAACGCGACGAACGCAGCGCCATCTTTTGACGGTAACTAAAAATTATATACTTTTTGGTAATTAATTGAGGTCATAATAAAAATTAATAATAGATAATTATTATTACCTGGTATTTTCCAATATCATTTTAATTTTCTGATAAACAATTTCTTCGGTGAGTTGGAAAAAGTCCAATTTTTCGCCGACACCAGCGTCCACGGACTTTTGCACATTCTAAAAAAATAAAATGAAAAAATATCGATGTAAGAAACCATTATATATATATATATATATATATATATATACTCGTATATATATATATATATATATATATATGGAGTCTTGGATTTGTGAATATTTTGTGGAGTTTCGAACAAGAATCCAAAAAGTATAAAAAACAAAGAAAGTTTTTTAATAAACTATTTCTTTATTTATTTATTTACTGTCGACGTTTTGGTACTAGGTACGTCCCATCTTCAGGACATCTGTCAAGAAACATGATCTTGATAAGATTTAAGCAAACAATATATTATATATAGAATACAATATATTATACTATAGAGAAGAATTTTATATATAAGATTTATTACCGTGTGCTGGTCGACGAAAAAGGGCATCCCAATGATGGGTACTCCGTGCCATGTCGATTCTTGAGAACTCAATAAGCCCCCATGAGTTATAAACAGTTTTATATTGGGATGAGCTGAAATATAAATAATTCTTTATTTATTACCTGTTGGGCAACATATATCTGTTGCCTAATTTACGCATATTTTTTCTGATGTATAATCTATTCTTAAGGCGTCTTAAGCTTATTGGACAAGAGACACCTTTCTTGAAATATAGCTAATATGAAATAAAGTTTCATATTCATTTTAAATAAATTCCTTTATATATGAATAAAAAAGCATCTATAAACGTTTTTGTTAACATTTAACATTAATTATTACCTATCTGGAATTTGCATGAGGTTTTACTTTAAAGATTAAATATAAAGATTTTAAGAAAATCTAACACCTAGTTACTTTTTATATTTTTATTATTATCATTATTACCTAAGACATTATTCTGTGGCAACCACTTCCGCACCATCAGATTTTTCGGGAAAGTCCTGTTTTCTAGTTCGATTTTCCATAAAAAGTTGTACTCGGGGAACCTCGAAATTGCGTTGATGAACATGCTGATCTTTTCCTCGCCGATTATTTCACTTTTCATATTGGTTCCGAGGCTGAAGAGTACGGAACCCTTTTTTGAAGACTCCAGGAACCTCTTGAGATCCTAGATAATTAATAATAGATTATAGAAAACAATATTATAATAGAACATTCAGAAGACATTAATGGAATGAAAGAAAAAAATACATACGGTGTTGCCGGTTACAATTATAACTTCAAAGAAATTTTATTCCTTTACTATTCCTTACCTCTGGTAGAGCTTTTGGTTCCTTAATCTGCAACCCCCCAACCTGTATCACATTAGGCAACACCGGCTCAGGCACATCCATTCCTGGATGACTATTAACCATAACCAACTCGACCTCCTTCTCCAAAGCACCAACATCCAACTCGTCATCACCAAAAACTTCTCTAACCTCATTTCTTACCCACCAGATGAGCATCCTCCTCTGCACCAACTCCACTGAGTACAGGAGGGAGTTGTAGAGCCTCTCCAGAAAAGACATTGTTGACCCCATGGTGGTCGTGTAATGGGGTTTTAGTGATACGAAATTTGGTGACCCCACCAAGTCGCTTGTATGTGGTGGATTGGCAAAAGCAGTTATGCCTATTTGTGGAGGAGAATTGAATCTGGATACAAATCCGTGGAGACATGGTAAGTTTGTGTAGTCGAATATGACTAAATCGAATTTGAAGTCTTTAGGGTACTCTAGTAACCTTTGTACCCCTTCTGATCTTAAAGAGGCTCTGCAGACTGTGAGGAACCATTTGGCAGTGTCCACGGTGATTCCTATGAGTGATTTTTTGGAGAATTCGAGTAAATCAAATGGTTCGTCTCCTGAATACAAGGATTCGTACACGCCGTTTATTTTTAAGTAGTGTATGTTGGGACCAGATGTTTCATCAGTGTCTATACTCAGGGCTGTCACATTGTGGCCGTTAGATGCCAGGGTTTGCATTATTGCTTTGTTCCTAAGGAAAAAGGTAAGTTGCATGTTCAGTATATTACATATAAAGAAAATGTATAAAAATCTGGAAAGATTCTATATACATTTACAATTACGTTATTAGCAGATTTATTTTTCTTACCAAATGTGGTGACTCGGCGATGCCATAGCCATGATGCACAAAATATTCTTTTGTCTTTTTGGTTTTTCAGCATTTTGTCCATTTATTATTAATAATAATAATGATAAATTTAATAATACTGTTCTCATTTTTTAAATGCTACTATTCACTGTCATTAATATAATCTGAAATGAGATAATTTAATATATATTAGAGCGGGTCGATTTGTACGTGTCAAAAAAGTCGCTTGAAATGCAATATTATAGGTTATTTAAATTTGTACAATTTTTTCCAAAACTCTAGTGAACCACAAAAGTTAAAATAACATAACACAGACGAAACGTCGTTACGTTAATAAACTGTTTTGGCTTACACGTAAATACAACGTTTTGTTCGTTACGTGGGAGCTACGTTACAAGGTTTCATAGATATACCATACAAAATGGACGGCTTTGCCTGCAAGAGTTGTCATTCTATTGAAGCATTTATTTAATAATTGTTTATATGATTAATACAGCATTTATATTAATCTAATGATTTAAAATTTACCAGAGATAAAAGAAAAATGCACAACTCTTGAGAACATTTGATTTAAACATGTTTTGTGAAATGCAATTAAAGTATAGTGAGTTGCTATAGATCATTATAATATTATAGATATATTCTAGATATTAGATATCATTATATGCAATATTATAGATTGTTCAAACTTGTACAATTTTTTTCCAATACTCCAGTAAACCACAAAAGTTAAAATAATAACGTAGCACAGAAGAAACGTCGTGACGTTGTTGGTGGTTACGTTAATAAAATGATCATATTACGTTTATTTGTAACCTTTGTTCAACTTGAACGTAAATACAACGTTTTGTTCGTTACGTGGCAGCTACGTTACTAAATGTTTATATTACGTTTAATTGTAACCTTTGAGCAGCTTGAACGTAAATACTACGTTTTGGTCGTTACGTGGCAGTTATGTTACAAGGTTTCATAAATTTACCATACAAAATGGACGGTTTTGCCCATTTTACGTTTCTATCTATGACTCTATGATAAACGATAAAGTGTTTTTTGATCTGTTATTTTATTTTTTGAAGCATATATTTAATAATTGTTTATAGGATTATTACGTCATTCATACTAATCGAATTATTTAAAAGTTACAAGAGATAAAAAATAAATACACTTCTAGCTCAATTTCCGCCATTGTCTATTTTCAAATGTGATTTTAAACTATAACGATTTGCTCCAGGGCATTAAAATATTATACAATATTATAAATTGTTTATATATCTATCATATAATATTTTAACATATGATTTTAATCGTACGAGATATGATTTATTTGTTAAAATTACAAAGTAATGATTTCTTATCAACCAATAGAGTCGACAAGGTTAATAGACTTTGATTTACATGGATCGAGATAAATTGGATAAATAAATATATATCTATATATATGTATATATATATACTAGATGGCCCGACAGACGTTGTTTTGTACCCATGTCTACAATTCAAAAGTACCATTTTTTTAATATCCTATTCTATACTTTTTATTTTAATATTCTGTTTGATATTCTAAATTAATTCAGGAGATTTCACCTAAATCAAATTTCAAGTGAATTGACATTTCTAGTAGATGACAGTTCGAATGTTTTCAATGTCAAACAATGATTAGTATTTTTTTGTAATTTTTGCCATTTATTTCTACAATATTACTATAGTTTTATCGTTCATTAAATCTTAAACATTTCCTTTGACAAACTCTAAAAAGACTTATCAAAATCCGAATAACCGTTTAGGAGAAGTATAAAATCATGCATCCGTAGAGAAGAATTTTATATATATAAGATATAACATTTATTAATATTGATATTTTTTTATTTGACACTTGTCATGTGTCATATTTCAGCAACTGCAAAATAGCTACAAAAAACTATAATTGAATTTTGAATTTTTGTGAATAGCAAAAATTATTGAAATATTTTTTAAATTTATTTTGTAAAAGATATACATGAGGGCAAACTCAATACAAATGTTAAAGTTGTTAATTAAATTTATGGTAGTATAAAATTTGTAAAAGTTTTGTTTATTTGATTTTTGGCTTTCAATTTACATCATTTGTTCATTAAACCTATTTTATAATTTAGCCATACAGTTGTAAAATTTGTATCATAATATTGATTTTTATCAAATTATTTTCAAAAAGTAGGCCAAAAAAAATAAAACACAAAAGTTACAGATTTTAATTAAATTTCTGAAATAAATTTTGTGATAGAATAGAATTTATGATATAAAAATTATGGGAATTTGTTTTTTAATCATTTTGTAAAAGAAACTCCATCTTCGTTTAAGTAAAACCAAACTCCATTAAAAAAAATATTGTTGGTAATATAATTTATTATAGAAAAAATTATTAGAACTTTTTTATTATTTTTGTTGCAATATAAATTTTTGATAGAATAGAATTTATGATGTAAACATTTATTAGAAGAGTATTAAAAAAAATAAAAGTAAAAAACTTATTATTAAAATTATAAAAGTAAACAAGATAAATCAAAGCACAAAAGTTGAAGTTTTAATTAAATTTTTCATAAATTAATGTTTTAACTTTGTGTTTAGTGTTTCCTCATGTATGCACATATTTTACAAAGAATTTGTTTTTTTTTTATGTACACCCTATGCATTTGTATGTACATAACTATTATACATAAATTGCTGAGTAATGACACATGTCAAGTGTCGAAACATATAATTAAAGAATTGTTAATAATAATTAAAATGTAATATTAATCAAAAATAAAACTAGTGGTGCATGGCATCGCGCCTTAAGGCAAATTGCTGGAACTTTCCGTACCAAAAACTAAATTGAAAAAAAAACATTATTTTTTTAAAAAACTTTGAAAAAAATAGATTTTTGAGAATATTGAATTTTTTGAAAAATTAGAATTTTTTTTATATTTAGAAATTTTTTGAAAATTTTAAACTTTTCCAAAGCAATCGCGCTGCATAGCTGTTTTAAAGTTGAAATTTCGAAGCGCATAAGCGCTGCGTCGTAGTCACACGTGTAAACATTGATACGGAACCCATATAAATGTGCACAAAATTTATACTTATTATTAAAATCTCTATAAAATATCTGAAAATATGATGCGCATATGTCTAATGATCATTTTTGACCTCCAAATTGCATTGTTTTATACTTTTTTATTGGATTACCAGAATTGCAGGACCTGCCTTGCCAAAAATCTTACCAATTGTTCATTTCGTCAATACAAGTAAAATGTTTTTTGAATTATTCAAATCAGACACTCTGTCCTTTCAAAAACTGATACACCATTTTTGGCATTTTTTGTCCTGTATTTTTGAAAAGGCTAGACCTGCTTTTGCCAAAAACTAATCAGCACATCTCCTTATCGATAGGAATCGATTTAATTATTCCCTGAACCGTGTTCCCGAAATCGTCGACAAAAATTTGTATCCGAACACATACACATACACATACATCGATTTTTTCTTAGGTATCCCAAAATGTTCAGAAACCTTTAAAACGTAAAGATATCTAAAAATTTCATTGTCGTTTTTTTGCGAGTACTATAACTTACCCTACGGGAAGTTAATACATTTTTTCCGTACGTTTCGATGCTAGATGTGGGTCATCATTCACCAATTTTTATACCATGAACAAAAAAAAACATAATTTTGTTAATATTAATCAGTTAAAATGAAAATTATGAATTTATATTTTAAACTATTTATTTGTTTATAATTTATTTATTTATAAATAAATAATTCTATAATTTGTTTAAATCCAATTATTATATATAATTTGTTTATTTATTAATTTCTGATTAAATATAAACAAATAATTTTATAACTTTTAAATTAAATATAACCACAATTTATTTATAACATATTAAATAAAGTAATTAATTATACATTTTTATATTCATTTATGGCACACTTTAAATATTTATTTATCTAAAACTAAGTTAATTAATTTAATTAAATTAAATTGATGAACGTTAAATTATAAAAAGGCGACACATGCTATTAGCACGAGACACACTTTAATACTGACGAAGAAATTGTAATCATTATATCTATACATACATAAATACTATCTATACATACATACATATATATATATATATATATATATAAATAATCCTCGTTTCATAATGTTAGTGACAATTCTCCTCCGAAACGGCTTGACCGATTTTTATAAATTTTATAATCACTTTCACTATGACGCTCTTAAGATTTTTTACTAGTTTTCGGACTAATTTATTTTATTTTCTTTTATTATAATTTGTAATTGAAAATCATATACACTCCTAAAATTTCACCCTCTTATTACAAACACCTATTTTTTAATTGTATGTCCTAAAACAACGGCATATTACTTAAAATTTCAATGATTTTTAACTTCCCGTAGGGCAAGTTATAGTAATCGCAAAAAAATCGAAAATGAAAATTTTTTAATTTCTCGACGTTTCAAAGGTTTCTGAATATTTTGGCATACCTTAGAAAAAATGGATGTATGTGTGTGTGTATGTATGTGCGGATACAAATTTTCGTCGACGATTTCGGGAACACCGATCAACTGATTTGAATAATTCAAAAAACATTCGATTCGTATTGATAAGGAGAAGTGCTGATTAGTTTTTGGCGAAGTCAGGTCTAGCCGTTCCGAAGATACGGGGCAAAAAGTGCCGAAAATGGTAACTCATTTTTAAGAGAACGGAGAGTCCGATTTTAATAATTCAAAAAACATTTTACTTGTATTGACAAGGTGAAGAACCGATAAAATTTCATAAAGGCAGGTCTAGCGGTTTCGGAGATCTAATGAAAAAAGTAAAAAAAAATGCTATTTGCCTGTCAAAAATGATCATTAGACATATGCACATCAAATTATCAGATATTTATAGAGATTTTAACAATAAGTATAATTTTGGTTTACATTCCTATGGGTTCCGTACCAATGTTTACGCGTTAGACGTCGACGCGGCGTTTACGCGGTTTGATATTTCGTCTTTATGCAGTTAAA